AGACGCCTCCTATTGGTTGATTAATCTATATTCCTCCAACATGTGGTGAGCTCTTTTATCTAAGGATGCTTCTCAGTCACCAGGTTGGATGTCAGATATTTAATGATATTAAGACAGTAGGTGATGTCATATTTCCAACTTATCGTGCTGCATGCGAACAATTGGGCCTACTTGGTGATGAGAAAGAATGGACATATGCATTCGATGATGCTTCTAGCTGGGCAACTGCTGAAGAACTCAGATCCCTGTTTGCTCACATGCTTATATTCTGTGATGTTGCAGATCCTCTTGCTCTATGGACAAAACAATGGCGGCAAGTGAGTGATGATATAGTCCAAAGAGCAGCTGCAGATTCACATGTTGTGAACTTACATGTTAATGAAGTTGACTTGCAACAGTATGTATTATATGAGTTATAGATCTTGCTAAATTCTAATAACAATTATTCCTCACTTTGTGATTATGGTTTGCCTATGCCTCCACCGCACTTGCTTGCAGAATTAAAAAATAAATTGCTCATGGAAGAGAGAAATTATGATAGAGTTTCTCTGAGCCAAAAAAAGGAATTTATGGTGTCTGCGCTTAATTCCGAGCAACATATTATTTATGAGACTGTTATGAAAGCTTATTTGCAAAACCATGAACTGCTTATGTTTGTTTATGGACATGGTGGTATCGGTAAAACATTCCTTTGGACCACAATCATTTCTGCGCTCAGGTTTGCTGGGAAAATTGTTTTAGCAGTTGCATCTTCTGGTATTGCATCTCTTTTGCTACCCTCAGGAAGAACAACACATTCTCAATTCAAGATTCCATTGGACCTTACCAATAACTCCATCTGTAGCATAAGCAAAAACACACAGCTTGCCCGTTTGCTTAGTGAAACTGCACTGATTATTTGGGACGAGGCACCAATGACAGATCGAAGATGCTTTGAGGCATTAGATAAGACACTTAAAGATATACTTAATGAGCCAACGCAACCTTTTGGTGGAAAATCAGTGCTGCTGGGTGGGGATTTCAGACAAACTTTACCTGTAAAACCTAAAGGGAGCAAGAGAGACATCATAGAGTCATCTATAGTTGAATCGTCAGTATGGAGCCATTTCAAAGTATGTAAATTATCAAAAAATATGCGGCTTCTTCAACCTAATCTAAGTACCAAAGAAAAAGAAGAAATTGCTACTTTTTCATCATGGTTGTTGCAGATAGGAGATGGACGTGTTGGTGTAGATGATGAAGATGATCCTACTAACACCAAATGGGTAGAGATACCAGAAAAATATCTCATACCAGATCATGAAGATGCTCTTAAGGATTTCGTTCGCTTTATATATGACGAAGACATTTTTCATAATCCAACAGCAACCATGTTCTGTGACAAAGCCATTGTTTGCCCTAAAAACGAAACTGCAGATGAAATTAACAACCTCATATTGTGTAATCTGCCAGGGAAACCTATTGTTTATCTAAGTTTCGACTCAATTATTCCACATGCGAATGATAGAGGGGATACGGAGGTTCTTTATCCGTCTGAATATTTGAACCAACTTAACTTTAGTGGTTTCCCTACTCACCATCTTCAACTAAAAGTTGGTATTCCAATCATGTTACTCCGCAACATGAATCAGATGGAAGGGCTCTGCAATGGAACTAGGATGATCATCACACAGCTTCTACCAAGACTTATTCAGGCAGAAGTCATCACTGGAGTTCAGATAGGCCACAAAGTTTATATACCTCGAATCACTTTGAATCACACTGATAAAGAATTACCATTCATTTTCAAAAGAAAGCAATTCCCGGTCAAAGTTTGTTATGCCATGACGATCAACAAGAGCCAAGGCCAGTCTTTAAACAAGATAGGAATTTATCTTCCTCATCCAATTTTCAGCCACGGGCAATTGTACGTTGCACTATCTAGGGCTACATCAGCAGCTGGTCTCAAAATACTGATTAAAAGACAAGAGGACCAGCCATCGAATTGTACAAAAAATATTGTCTTCTCAAATTTTTTAGCAAAATTAGAATCTTCACAGGTTGGTAATTAAATGCTTTTGTGATTTATTGCTTAAAATGTTAAAACTTAATGAAAAAATTTACGTAATGACCATTGTTTGGTACTTAGTATTAGAGTTACTTCACTCAAAAATCACATTTAATTGAATTTTCATTTATTGGGAAAAACAAAATTCCTGATTTGAAGCTCTTTCTATTTTAGGCTGTAGATATGGAGCTTCTTCTTCGTTGACTTAAAAAAATCACCTTCCGCAGCAGTAGCACCGATGATGTTGGTAATATTGAAGTTTGAAGATAGAAGTGGAAGAGATCAAACAGTTGCAAGGTAATTATGTGACATAATTTTATATAATATATAAGTAATAGAGAAAAAAATGTAACTAAAATATCTTTATTGGTTATGTTTTGAAATTATTTAAGTAAAAGGAAAAGAATGTACAGACTTATAAACCCCTCCTATTGCTTTTTTGGTTTTTTTTAGTGCTAATGATGTTGCACTCTTCCACATGTTTATATAACCAAGAGAACTTTTTATTTTATTTTTTCTTGGCAGTTTTTCGTGTTCTACTTTTAATATACTACAAGAATGCAGGTCATAATTAGGAGAAATAGGTAACCGATGTGTCATTTACTTTTTTACCCTTCATGCTTTTGAGTCTTTTTTGGTTTTGGTCCAAAAAATGGTCTCTTTCTCTTTACTGTTTCATGTAATTAACCTCATTGACGTGGCTTGCACCTGCACACATGGGCTTTTTGGTCTTTTCCTTCTTTATAATAAAAATTACATGTGTAAGGCACATGAAAGGGGTAAATAGACAAAAAAAAATATTATGAAACAGTTAAATAGGGACCAAAAAGGGAAAAAAATTGGTTTCTTCTATAAATCATGTTTCTTAAAGTTGTTATGCTAATAGAGCAGGGGTTTATGTTTTCTTCTATTCTAATTAAAAATTTATCAGGCTATGAAGATTTCAGGTACTCATATATGATGTTGCACTCTTCCATGGAGAACCAATGATCATTTTATGACTTTGTATGGTGAAATAATGAAGTGGAAGGCCATGTATTATCCCGTATATTTTTTACTGTTTAAAATAAAAAAAACTGGTGAACCTATAATACTCGGTAAAATGATGTTTTTACACTAAAAAAAGAATAATGGTCTTTTTGTACATTTTTAAAACGTTGTTATCTTTTTAAGTCGTTCTCCGTAATTCCAATAGGGTTCCACCTAAAATGAAAAAACATTGTTTACAATATTCCTACTAAAAGTAACATTCAGAAAAGTAACATTCAGAAATTCAAACTTGAAACCATGGTTATTTAATTCTAATATTCATACTCTAGAGCTTTAACAAATAAATTAGAGTTGTTCATTTGCAATCAAACAAAAGATGAAACAAAATATATTTGTTAATTCCTTTTTTCTGTTCCATATATCAATTCAAGTAGAAAACAACCAAATACAAATTTTTTGTCAAAAGACCTAAAATTAACTTTATTGCTTTACAGCTGGTTAATCATGAGTATTAAATTGACTTTAGGCTTGATAACTATACAAAAAATAAAAGAAACTTAATCACTTTTTTTAGATTTATTTTTTTATCTTCTATTTTAAACCTTAATACAAAAATAAATAACTAAATGATAAGCCTTATAACTTAAATTAGATAACAGAAAATTTAAAACTATAAATTAGATGAAAAAAAACAAATAAATAACAATTCAACTCTTATCCCTAAAATCAACAATTCAATTTATTATCCCTAAAATCAAAAATTCTATTTAAAAAAAAAAAAAGATTATCGCATATAGCAATGCCCATGCTTCACTCACTGTTTCCTCTTTCCCTCACGCAATCTTCCAAGTACGATAGAACCAGTAAGCCTTATCCCTCTTTTCCTCACGCAATCTTCTAGGTACGGTTCTCTTCGATCTCGATTTGGAGATTTTGTGATTTTTCCACCAGCCACTCCTTATTACCAGATAAAACACTTCATGCGAGTTCATTTTTTCCACATATCGGCTTCCTGTCTTCCAGGTTAGTTCTCTTCGTTAATTAATTTTGTTGAATCTATGTTTGCAATATATTCATGCCTAATTATCATATCAATATATTAGTCTTACAAGTTTTTCAATTTTTTTTAGGGTTTTAGTCTCTGAATTATTGATTCTAATGTGATAATGAAATATATATACACAACTACATAAACATTGTCCTTTTATACCTATAGGTACTTATAAAGAAAACGTTTAAAAGCTTAAACCGATTTTTTAATGCTTATTTCTGGAACTGCAAGAAATTTTAAACCAGCTTTTAAACACTATCCAGGTAACATGATTTTACAGCCCAAAGTTTAAAAGTATGTTGTCAATTGTTGCTTATTTTTTAAAATTTAGTTTAAAATTTCTTGCATTTTTCTGCATTTATATTCTAACTTTGTTATACAAATAATCTGAAACAAACTTAACATGAATAATTCATGTGTAGTAGTAAAGTTACAGAAAGGTTCCATCTAATAGTGAACTTTTATTCATTAATTATTCAACATCATTTGTGTATAAAAGGGTACCTGTAATAATAAACTTACAGAAAAGCTCCCTGTACTAGGAAAAATTCCAATCTTTTATGGAAAAAAAATTAATTGTTGATTTTTCATTTTAATTTGAACTTCACAGATTCTACAAAAATGGATACAACTATGGTAGCAAACTTAAACCCTGGTGATGGAGACAAGCCAATGAAATAAAAGTCATTAGGAAATGGTTATCATATGGGAAAAAAGCTGAATGTTGCTACATATTTCTTGATAAAAGTGTGAGTGGAGTCACCATAATATTACATGCAATTGTCAATTATAATCAATTCTATGTTAGATACTTATACATATACATATAAAACCATTCATTTTTGGCAGGGAGATGCAATAGAAGCATGTGGTTGCTTGGGAGATAAAGGCTACTTTGATTCGATAATCAAGATGGATGGTTGTTACTCTGTAAGCAACTACGTGTGTGATAATGCAAATACTTTCTTTGTTACTGTCCTACACAAAACCAAAATCAAGCTAGGCAGGGCAGCAAAATTTGAAGAAATACATGATGATGGATTTCCTTTGTACTACTTCAATTTTCTTGCATATGGTCAATTAGGTGCAAGGCTTGATAACCATAAGACACTCACAGGTATGTAATACTTATATATATATATATATATATATATATATATATATATATATATATATATATATATATATATATATATATATATATATATATATATATATTTCTTTTAAAATCACAAAATTGTTATATTTGTGTTAAGATTATATCGGAAGAGTTGAAAATGTGTATGAAGTAGTCAGAACTCAAGGAAATGCAATTTTGAAACTCAAACTAGAAAATTTGAGGTATTTTCTATCTCATATATCTAACAAAGACCACAGCATATCATATTTAATATTTGAAATATGTTTGTTTAGTGGAACAATGATTGAGACAACTTTCTGGGATGAGGCGGCTAACTCATTTGATAAAGAAGCTATCGAAGCATTATCTTCTCCTGTTATTGTTGCTATTACTTCAATGAAAGTCACACAGTATCTAGGTACATTTTTCTCATTTTATTGTATTGAAGCATTTTTCTTTCAAAGTACAATGCTTAATAAAGAAAAACACTTTTTTAAAAAGAAATAGACAAATAAAGTTTAAAGTATTATGCTATATTAGAAAATCAGATTAAAGTACATTCCTATTTCTTGCATTAACCAACATTTATAGAAACTGCCCCAACCTTATTATTTTTGCTTATTTTTATTTTATTTTGTAATTAATAGCATTGTTATGTTGGTTTCTTTAATAGGAAATTTGCAACTGACAGCAACTCCAGCCTCATATATTTACATCAACCCCACTATTCCCGAGGCTGCTGCAATGGCTGCTGAGTAAGTTTTTTGATCATATTTATATAACTTTGTGACATATCTTATAGCTCATTTTCTCTTTTAGGTTTGTCGAACGACATAATCAAAACCCTGTACTCAAGATAAAATACCAAAAAAGTAAAGATGTATAAGTCGAAAAGAAAAGAAACAGGTTTCCATTGGTAGACTTGCTATCTTAAAACCCAACCGTTATGCAGTAAGCCATCAAACCTTCTCTTATCTTAAAATATATATACAAATTTTATAGTTTTAAATTTAATATAGATAATATTACAGGGAGCTCAGTTCACCTGCAAAGCATCTCTGGTTAGCATAGATGCAAGCAAGGGTTGGTTTTATAAAGCATGTCATGAATGTCGTAAAAATCTTCAAAAAAGAGGAAACACACTTGCATGCGAAGATCATGATCAAGTTGCTAAACCAAACAATTTGTAAGTACTATGTTTTTTATGTCAACTACTTGAGTATAATGATCTTAACATATATATGTCTAATAATCGTTCAACAGGTTTTTTATCACAGCATACATCGCAGATGAGACCGCTCAAGCAAAGATAGTCTTTTTTGATGCTGCAGCTAGAATGTTGTTCCAAACAGATTGCAACACACTCATTGATCATCATGGATACACTGATCCGTACACATTGCCTGCACCACTCACCATTCTCATAGGCCAACCAAAAATAATTCAATTCTGATTTGCAAGATTCTGTAGGCCGGGTGCTAAAGAATTTGTAGCAGATGCTGTTTTTGAAGATATAGTTTCTCCAGAAAAAGAAAATCACACAGAAACAGACATTATCAACCAACCAACTGCCTCAGCATCATCAAAAAAACACTCACTGCATCAACTGATCCTCCATCTATTGCTTCTGTTACTCCAGCAAAAGCCTTTCAAGAGCGTCTCACTGTTGGATTAGTGTCTAAGTCCATAACTATTTTGGTATGTACTTGACCCGATGGTGCATGGTCCTTTTGGGTTGCCTTCACCAAAGCAACTTGATTGGAGAAATGAATAAAGAGAGAAAGGATAATATGATTTATTAATATGTTATAAGAATAATATATTAAAGGAGAAATCATATTTGTTTAATTAATATTGGTCAATAATTAATTAAGAATTAGTTTTGTGATCAAATGTAATTAATTAAACTAGAGGGGCTGATTTGTAATTATGTGATAGTTACAAAATAAGGTAAGGATTATCTTATTTATATGGTGGACGAATTTAAGGTTGGAAAGCCTTAGAATTCGAGTATGATAAGGATTCAAGGATTATCTTATTGGTTGCTTAATGGATAATCAACTAGATAAGGATAATGACTGAAACCCTATCTCTACACCTATATAAACACCCCTAGGGTCATGAATTCGTGTATCCCTTCCCAAGAGGTCCTAGATACGAATTCTAACCTCTCACCTCTCTCTTTATACCTTCTCCACTTGCTTATGGTGTTTGTAAGCCATTAGAGGAGTGACACTTGTGACTCTAAGCATTCCAAAGTCAATTCAAGGAGATTTAGGATTGTTATTGCTACATAACAATCAAGGTAACACTATAAACTTATTCTCATGTTAATATGATTATATGTATGTTAGAATTAGGGTTTATAGTCTTGGATTCAAAGCATGTACAATAGAGAAACCTAGATCCAAGCATTAGGGTTTGCATGAGCACATAGGATGTCTTATGACCAAAACCCATCAGTGGTATCAGAGCCTAGGATGGTTTCAATTGTATTGATGCATTGTATATCTAAAAAAATTCGTTTTTTTGGTGTTCTAGTGGCTGGACTCACCGAGTCCATAGCTAAACTCGCCAAGTCCAGGGTGACTCGACGAGTCCAGGCTTGACTCGACGAGTCAACTCGTCAGATAGTGCTTATCTCGGGATTTCTTGCTGTTTTTGCATATGGATAGTTACCTTATCATGTTAGATCAATATTAATCCGATTATATGATATATTTGACTATATTTTTGATCTAATTGAAGATATTTATCAATTAATAAGATAATTGTTTCCTTATAAGATAAATGATTAATTATTTTGAGTAAATTGATAAATTGTTTTGCAAGAAATCATTAAACAAATCACATATTGATAATTATGTAATTAAATGTTAGTGTAGATTATTTGTTATTTGATCCTTGTTGTTATGAAAAGTTTCATATTTTACCATTTAGGTTTTATAGTTTAAATTTGAACCCAAAGGTTTTGTTGTTTTGAAATTTAAATAATTGAAACCCTAATGTTTTTGAAATGTTTCAAAACTTGCCCTAAAGTTTTGGAATTTAAAAGTTGATTAAAAGTTAATTAGGAATGTTAAATTCTAAAATTCTAGTAATGTTTTGAAAAGTTCAAATACACCCTTATGGTTTTATTAATTAATTAAGGAGTATCATTAAAAGAGACTTAATAAATCCATAAAAGTCTAGGTTAACCATTTAATTGAATTAAAAGTGTAATTGTTAAAGTTAACCACCTAATATTTTAAAAGTGTAAAAATGCACCCTATACTATATATAACATTAAAAGTCTAACATTATATATATATATATATATATATATATATATATATATATGTGTGTGTGTGTGTAAAAGTCAGTCTTATCGTTAGTAGGCCTCATTCACGAAGCTGGTCTATAAAGGGTGTTTAAGGAAATTGCCTATAAAATGGCGATTGAATGGGTATCCACTCTTACCCACCGCACTTTTGACTAGTGGCGATTGAATGGGTATCCACTCTTGATTTCTTCTAAAGTTTGTCGGGGTTAGATTCCGTTTAGTGCTTCTTCGCAAGTTTTCTTTGTATCTTTGCCGGATTAGGGTCGTGTTAATTGGAATCAATTGTCCTTGAAGATCGCTTCATCTTTGTCTGTCCTTCTCCATCATCTGCTAAATCGATGACCATAGTGGAAGGAACAAGGACGTGTTAGCATTTGTCCAGGTAATCACGAAAGTTCCATTGGGCTAACAAATAGTTCTCCTACTAAGCAAACATGGATATTATAGTAATCGGTATTTTTTAATCGATTTTTCTTTGTAACTAAGTTACAGTTCGATTTGGTATAACCATGACCAATTTGAGCCGTAATTTTCGATATTTTTATGTTTACAATAGTTAATTGTAATAAACTTTATGTTTTTACATGATGCAAAGCAAGCATGGATTAGAAAAGATGGAAAATTGAGGCATGCATATTGATGAGGGATGTATGGATCAAAAGGCTCAATAAACAACGAGAGGTTGAAACGAAAAAAAAAAATCAAGAATTCAAAGTAAGAAGGCAGAAGGCCGGCCCGGTCTTCTCGAATTCGACTCTGGAACTTCTGAAGTAAATTTTTGTCTATTGTAATAAGTTGATTGTATATCCGTACACATTTATGCGCCTTAATTGTATGGATTGTAATTTATCCTACCTATCTTCAGAATCCGATAAGCGTAAATCATGAATAACATCTAAAAGTTGTTGCAAATGATCGAACACAATTCCCGATGTAATGGGATGAAACCAAGACCATTTCCAATCAATACCATCCCATCTCTAATTTATAGAGCACTCTCTATTTCTAAAACAAATAATATTGGAAACCGAACCAGTAGAGGAATACCACCAATCCAATGATATTTTCAGAATAAAGTATACTTGTCATTACCAATAACACGTTGAACAACATCTCTCGAAATGATCTTTTTGTGGTGAAGCTAATTAATAAAATAATAATATATATAATTTGTGATTAATAATTACTAAAATAATATAAGTTTAAATATATCCCGCTAAAATAATCTTATCATAACATAGATTATAATTAATCATAACTTTACATTTAATAATACAAACAGTAACGGAATCCTAATCACCGGCTTGACTTCGTATTGTACATACGACGTTGATTTGGTAAACTTCCAAAGTTTGCAAATAAACTATCTTAATTTGTTTTAACCAATAATAGTGTCATTTTTATATTTATATTCTCTCGTAGTATAAGATAAATGTCTTTTGACTTTTGGAATGAAATTTTATAGATAGAACAATTCATTAGCTAGCTTGACTGATCAAAAGGTTTGGCGAGTTAAAACTTATAGTTGGCTAGTTCAAACTTATAGTTACAACCAAATGGTTCATTCATTCAACTACATGAGTTGAGCTAGCTAACATTTGATATGGCCCAAGCTTAACAGCTCGATAACATTAAGCATTAGCACTAATCATACGATGTTTTGATCGTGTATAAACTATAATGAAAATTAAAGCTTGAATTAAGTAGTAAAATGGAGATATCAAGATATATTATTGATAAGGACGAAGTTGAAACAAAACCGTGTGATAGATACCAAAAATACGATCTTTCCACAACACTTTTCGATCATGGAATCACATTATTAAAAAAAGTAACTTTAAAGACTTTCTCTATCGTGCACAAACTATGGTTTTAAAATCGCATTTGGCTATGAGTTGTCAACGACATTAAGTATAGGCTTAAGGTCAAATCTGTCAGAAACTTTTTTAAATATAAGGGTGCACCAAGTTTAGTAATGTTATATTAAAAAGAATAAAATCCAATTAAAATAAATCATAGAGATTTAGTTATAAGTGTTTTGTTATCTTTCTATGTTCAAGGTTTCTGATATTCTTTTGTTGATTGACTTTTTCATACTGAAATTTAACCTCATATTATACATTCGAATTAGATAATTTTTCAATAGACAAACTAAGAAAGAGAGTCGTGCAAAGTAGTGGATTTTGTACTTGAAGATGCAATCATTTTTGTTTGTCTTTTTAGCATTTCAATTAAATACATTGAATGTATGTTTGTGGACGAGATATATAAATGTATGATTTTTTTTTTTATTGAGAAAGAGTTATTAATATGTATTTTTTGACTTGTCTTATTTGGATCATTGAAATTTATTTCCATACAAACTTTTAAAATCATTAAGTGTATATGTATTAACTAGTAACTTAGGTGACTTAATGTCTATTTGGAGTTAGGTCCGCCTAGACGGTAGGTATCATGTACGGTTATTTAGGACCCATCATTCTAAGAAAACCTTAAATTTTTGGTGTTATGTAGTAGCAACAAAATATAAACCATTTTTTCTCATTTCTCAAGCCCAAATTACACTAGGTAACCACAATACATGTTTAACTACGTTGTAAACAAAAAGAGAAATCATCGACAATTTAAAATAAAAAAGAAGGTGGGAATGTAGCCAAATTAGGGGAATCAAAAGAACTTGGAAATCGAATCGTTATTACGACCTTACAAAAGTAAACTTTACTCTACATATAAGTTTGGACAACAGTTAACCCGATGGTAAAACGTCCTCCAATAGTCAAATACTAGGTTCCAACAATTATAAGTCAATGGTTTTTGTTCTTAAAAATTGTCTTAAAAATTCTTTTTGATTTATCTTATTTTGTTTTACATCTCCTTTTTGAATTAACACTTTAATAGATTATCTATAGTTTAATTTTTGGATATATAGTTTAATAATTTAGTATGCAATTTTATTGTGTTTATATTTATAGAGTCATTCTTATCACAATATATCATTTTATGTGGTGGGGTTTTATAAGTAGATTCAACTTTCATTTACATTTGGATTATGGTATAGAGATGAACTTATCGTGGATTGTTTTCATTCCATGCTAATTCTTTCCATCACTTTAAGAGCAAATAGAAAAGACTTTATTTGTAATAGGCAAGAACTTATGGTGGTTTGTTTTCATTCCATGCTAATTTTTTCCATCATTTTATGAGCAAATACAAAAGACTTTATTTGTAATATGCAAGAACCAACAACTTATTTAGTTCCATGTTTTTCAATTCTAAAAATAATAAGTGATTTATAACACTCGAACTTCCTTTTTGTTTTAAACTTAGAGATCAAGTTGGTAATTTATGAATGGTTTATGTTTAAGAACAGGGCATATAACATACACTCACAATATGTATTTTTTCATAGTAAATATTTTGTGAGCTCTTAAATTTATCAATAAGTACATGTTATTTCACTAATTATAGGATTAAAACTCAAAACTTTCAATCTAAAAGGTAAAACATATACCAAATGGGTTAGTCACATGTTGGCCAACTTACTTGATCACTTAGTTTTTTATTTTTATTTTTATTTTTTTTTAAACGAATCATTAGAAATTAGAAGTTAATATCATCAAATTAGTAGAAATCGCTCTCTTGATCACTTACGTGCTGTTTGTTTTTTTTAAACCAAAAATTATGAAGTCTACGGACTACTTCTGCAACTCTCTCCAGCAAAAGAGGTGAATCAAATTGTTACAAATTGTAATAAAAAGTGTGTTTGTTTTTTAACATCTACATTTTGCTGCAGATATTAAAAATTTAAAATAAACTTATTTTATATATCAAAAATAGTTTTTTAATATCGAAAATTTAATAATATATGACATTTTAACAAGATTTTATGATATTCTAACAAGAAATTATCATTATTCAATATGAAAAAGCTAAAAAATAATTTAGCAGAAATAAACATGTAATCAAGATTCATCAAGATTTCAGCAAAAAAATGAGGTTGGAAAAGGCATTACAACTGCTATGCCAAACTGAACCCATGCAAATTTTTTTTACTCCGAAGACTTCTATAAAACAAACAGCTGCAAAATGAAAAATGTTGCGTGTATGCTGCGCCGCGCAGCAATAAGAGGTCAGAATAGGTTTTAAAGAAAAACAAAAAACACTTTTAATGATTTCTTTAATTCACTGTAGATTTCACTCAACATGAATATACTTCTCGACATGATCAAAGTTATACAAATGTTCATGATTATCAACCATTTACGTATTTTTTCAAAACCATTACATTTAGAACATTTTAAAAGAAAAGTCATTAATGACCGTTTATGTTGGATTTCCTTGTGATGATATATGACGATAATTTAATCATTTTATGGTGATTTAAATTTTACGGGATTTTTTTTTTCGTTTTTATAATCCAATAAAAAAAAAAAAAAAAAAAAAAAAAAAAAACCGACCTTACTTACTAGTTACTCCTTTAAAAGTTGGTGACCTCCAACTCGATAAAAAATATTTATAAGAATCTAATACAATATATATTTTACATCTTTAACGTGTTAATTATGAGAAAACCTTTGACTTCTTTCTGAATATGAGTTGTCGGATAGAATGAGGTTATAAAATCTAATACAAGACTTTACATTCATATCCGAAGCGAATTAAAAAATGTTGATTAGTGTAATTTTTTATATTTCCCGATTACACATTTATTTAAAATAATTCATTAGACAAATGCATATTAAGAAAAAAGGCGATTCATGAACCATTTCACTTAATGTATCGCAATATTCTTTCGAACATTTTTATAGGTAACATAAGTTATAAATGATGGTATTGATGATTAAGATGTTAATGTTTTATTAGTACAACAATGCATAAATCGGAAATTAACGAAGGAAAGTAGGAATTTATAGTAAAATTAGTCAAATAAATAAGCTTTTAAAAAATTATAATTTATTTTTAAAAATAGTTATAGATAATTCTTAAATTATTATAAAGAACCCGCGTTTAAAAATAATGTATTCATCAAATTTATCAAATCAAAATCATAGTTTTAATTGGATAAAAATCATGAAACTATACCGTAACCGATCTTTCCTCTTCAATCGATCATTTTATTCCATGTTGATGAAACAATTAATACTTAATACAAAAATTCCATGATTTAAGGACCCTGCATGTGTCTCTATACCAAAATTATATTTATTAACCACCTAAATCAACAATGTAACATTTCATAAAAGATAACTCTTTTTACCATATATATATATATATAAATAAAGCATCTCATTTTTATCAGCATATTAATAATCTAATTCATTCAATATTTTATTAAAAAAATATTCAATTTCACGGTTGGTTTTTGGGGTTTGAGCCTGGATCTCCTCTTCCAAACATGGATGGACGGTGGACTTTTCATGGTGTTAATTAAGGTTTTAGGCAAGAAAAGGGAGTGGATATATATAAGATGGCCCATTTTGATTATCATTATATTAATATAAATAATAAAATCAATAAATTAAAAAGTAAGAAAAGGCTATAAAGGATATAACTCAGGTTTGTAATTTATTAAACCTGAAACAAATAAACCATATGATGATATGGATGGTATGAGTTAAAAAAAATTAGGAACCATAAGCTCAAAATTCACCAAACCACAAGGACTGTTCATGTAATTTACTCTAGATACTAATAATTAATTCTATACTGATCCTAAGGTTTTTCTAATTTACAACCATTTGAGGTCTAGAACTTAAGACAATATAAAATCTTATCAACATTGATTTTTAAACTCAAACTCGTTTTCATTAGTGAGATTAGTTTAGTCAAAACTCAATAATTAGCAGGGGTATGCCTATATAAAGGGCTTTAGTTGAAGGTATTCTCAAACTTATAACCATAAAAGGAAATTAACATGATGAAAAACATTATTAGATTGTTTCTTGTTTCCATTTTGGTGGTAGGATGCATGGGCGCCGGTGGTCGTGGTAATGGTGGAGGGTTAAAGATGAACTTTTATGGGAAACTTTGCCGTTTGGACCGTTTGGTTACAGTCGAAAGTACGGTGAGGCAGATTGTATGGAGCAAAGTTTCTGCAGATCCTTCCATGGCTGCCAAGCTTCTAAGGCTTCATTACCATGATTGCTTTGTTAGAGTAAGTAACTTAATTAATTATTAGTAGTTCATTTTAACTTCTTCTTTTTTATGTCAAAAAAATAAAGAATGATAATAAAAACTTTCACATTTGAAGGGGTGTGATGCTTCGATTCTATTGGACCCTACACAAAACACGACAACTGAAAAAACAGCAGGACCAAACAGATCCATTTCTGGGTACGAGGTTATTGATGAAATAAAGACAAAGTTGGAAGCCAAATGTCCTGGGATTGTTTCCTGCGCCGACATTGTTGCCTTGGCTGCTAGAGACGCCGTTTCCTTTCAAGTAAGTCGATTGTCATTATCATGTGACTAACATGTAATAATTAATATATAAAATAACCATGTTTTAAAACATATGTACTGATTGTTTCACGGAATTGATAGCTTTCTAATCTTGCCGGAAAATTGCAGTTTCAAAAGGAAATGTGGCCGGTTTTCACCGGAAGGAAAGATGGAACAGTCTCATTGGCGTCGGAAGTTGGTGGCAATTTACCATCTGCAGGCGCCAATTTCACAACACTCCTGACCCAATTTGGAACCAAAGGCCTTAACCTTAATGATCTTGTGGCACTTTCAGGTAAATATATATACCCATTTTACATGTCTTCTTATTAATTTATATATACGTGTGTATGTATGTATGTATGTGTATGCATGCATGCATGCATTTTAAAAACTTTATGCTTCATTATTTTGGGTTACGTACATAATTAATTACTAAACGTTTGTGTATTTGTACTATAGGTGCACATACTATTGGGATCTCTCATTGCACCCTCGTTGCAAGAAGGCTTTACAACTTTACAGGTGTAGGAGATGCTGATCCTTCTCTTGACGTGAGTTATGCACAAACACTTAGAGGACTGTGCCCCAACCCTCAGAACCCAGCCACAGCTCTTGAAATGGATCCTAAAAGCTCTCTCACCTTTGACTCTGATTACTATCGGGCTTTAAATCAACATAAAGGTCTATTTGTATCAGATGCAGCTTTACTTACAAACAGACAATCGGCTCGTATGGTTAACCTTCTACAAAATCGTGGGCTTTTCTTTGCCCAATTTGCTAAGTCCATGGTGCGAATGGGTGGTGTTGGAGTCCTTACAAATGGTCAAGGAGAGATCAGGAAAAGTTGCCGAGTCGTTAATGGTCAATAATGAATATCGATATTAATTGTGTTGGTTTGTTTGTATGAAGTTTCTTGCAACGAGAGGAAATAATGTGTCACAAGGTTTGAAATTTGACTGCAATCAAATGAATTATTAAGTCTGTTTAATTGTTTTGACATGTACGGATGTACCCTATCTTAGCTGTGTTTAATTTCGTCCCAGTTTGACGAATCTGGTGTACTAGCTAGTATTTAAGTTTTCATTTTATCATATTAAATATATTTTAAGTTTGGTTTGAAAATGTTAAGGAATGATTTTGTTGAATTTGTGAAGTTGGTTTTTTTCATGAATTTGGCATTTGTAATATACATTTCTTAAGAAACGTAACTTAAATTTTCACTCACAATGACCCGCGCGTATTCAGACATGATTCAACAGAATGGTTGAATCGAGATGAAATACTATATGTATCGATTCAATGAAATGTCATCGCATAGAATGAATCTTGAAATCTTGAAGTGAATGTCTATTGAATACTATATGTATCGATTCAATGAAATGTCATCGCATAGAATGAATCTTGAAATCTTGAAGTGAATGTCTATTGAACTGTTGGAATTAGTGGTGTTCGCGGTGCGATTTGGTGCGGTTTATCCTCAAAATCGCAAACCGTACCGCATATGCGGTTTGTTATTTTCAGGAACTGCAGACCGCACCACAAAGATAATAAACCGTGTTATGCGGTGCGGTTTTGTACGGGCGGTTTTGCAGTTTTTGTGTGGTTTATACGTTTCATAAACATAAATATTAAATTTAGTTTTAAATATAATAATTGTGTCGTGCTTTATATTCTATGAAGAAAAAATTAATTGTCTGTATAAGCATCTTCTTTATGCATAATATCAAAATATTTTATAATATTTTAAAATTATAATATAAACTTATGGTACTGTAAACACATATTTTTGATATACACATCATGAGCGTCTAAAACCGCATTATGGGGTGCGGACAGTTTATGCAGTTTTATGCACACCCCTGGCAAAAAGGGGGGAGAGGGGGGGGGGGGGAGATTTTTATACGTCTTTAAACGTTAAAATATCATATTTATTCAATTTAAAACCTAAATATCATATTTACCATTTTTAATCATTTAAATACAATTTTTATAATATTTTATAATTAGTTTTTCTGTTTAGGAATCTTTAAAATTAAAATAAAAAGTAGGGTTAATACCTTAAAAACCATTATTTATACATCCTCGTTTCGATTTAACCCCAAATTTATTTTTTGTTCTTCATTTGCCATTATATTTTAGAAAACGTTTCATTTTCGGACCCTTGACCGATCATCAACAGGTAATGATGACGTGTCAGTTTTTGTATTTTTTTGTTTGCATTTGGCCCCAACATTTACGTATAAGTTTGCGTTTAACCCCAATATTTTTTGTTCCCCATTTGCCATTATTTTTTAGACAAAATTTCGTTTTAGCCATTGGTCAGTCATGAATAGATATTTTAAAACGTAAGGGTTGAAACTACGACTTGTCATTGAGGGTGAGGCGTGTTACCTAGTAAGCCAATAACTTTTTTTTTGTATTATCAGTGTTTGTTGTATTTAATCTACACATGTATTTTAAAATGAAGGAAAAATATCTAGTGTAAGTCTTGAATCTGTAACATCTAATAAACAATATGACATGCTAATCTTTAAGCTAATCAAAATTGTTAATCCATTCGTAATTCATCTATAAACAATTGGTTATATTTACCGACATATTTGTTAAGAAACCATATATTTCTAAAGAGTAAAAAATGTGCCTTCTCTTTAAGGGACGAGGCGTGTTAGATGGTAAGTTAATGATTCTTTTTTTGTATTATCAATGTTTGTTGTATTGAATTTAATGTAAACATGTAAGACACCTGGTCCCTTAAAGAGAAGACACATTTTTTACTCTTTAGAAATATATGGTTTCTTAACAAATATGTCGGTAAACATAACCAATTGTTTTTAGATGAATTACGAATGAATTAACAATTTTGATTAGCTTAAAGATTAGCATGTCATATTGTTTATTAGATGTTACAGATTCAAGACTTACACTAGATATTTTTCCTTCATTTTAAAATACATGTGTAGATTAAATACAACAAATATTGATAATACAAAAAAAAAAGTTATTGGCTTACTAGGTAACACGTCTCACCCTCAATGAGAAGTCGTAGTTTCAACTCTTACGTTTTAAAATATCTATTCGTGACTGACCAATGGCTAAAACGAAATTTTGTCTAAAAAATAATGGCAAATAGAGAACAAAAAATATTGGGGTTAAACGCAAACTTATACGTAAATGTTGGGGCCAAATGCAAACAAAAAAATACAAAAACTGACACGTCATCATTACCTGTTGATGACCGGTCAAAGGTCCAAAAATGAAATGTTTTCTAAAATATAATGGCAAATGAAGAACAAAAAATAAATTTGGGGTTAAATCGAAACGAGGATGTATAAATAATGGTTTTTAAGGTATTAACCCTAAAAAGTAAATGGATCATAATGTCCTTACCTTCTCAAGTGGATGAACTAAATTAACCTTATCCTCTTACCGGCTGCGATAAACTCTTCTTAACCACTATTCTTCTTCTTTTTTTATAGCCTTCTCGACATCTTTCTTGTTCTAATCAGCCAATATTTCTTTGTTTATTAAACACTATTTGTGAACTAAAGCTTCTTTTATTAGGGGAGGATATCGTGTAGATGGCGTTGGACAATTTTACGAGGGAGGAATCCATGATCTGGTAATGTAGGTGTGTCTTGGGTTTGATAAGATTTGTCATCTATAATCACTACACCAACATCGATCTTGTTGGCTGATCCTTCAAACCTGGTTGTTATCATTCTTTTCATCTCTAAAAAACATCATTTAATTCACAATTATGTTTGAACTAAAAACTTATAATAATAAAAAAAATCTCTAATGTAATTTAAATGTATTGATATTTGTGTTGCTCTTTGAGGGAATGTGTCAAACAGTTAGTGATAATAAAACTCAACATCACTTCATATACGATGCTAGCCAAGGTTCTTCATAAACCTAGAAGCAAATAAATTATTAACTTAGTATTTGGGTATTGGTCGATTTGGTTTCTGTAGTTGAGAGGGTAAGGATAATATGATCAATTAAAAAAATGTTTGAGCAAATATGATATTTTAAATGATTAAGAATGACTGAATGGTAGATATGATATTTAGATTTTAATGTGGACAAATATGATATTTAAACGTTTAACGAACAGAAACAAGGATATATATGAAATTCTAAAAAAAAACATATTTTAATTAGTAGAGCTCAACAAACTATAGAAATTAAACTATGTACATTGGAATGGATAGTGAATATCATTATAACCATTACTATGTTAACGTTGCAATTTTTTTGATTTTTCAAATATGTAGTTGGCAAGTGGCTTATGACATGATCTCTTATAATTATCTCTAACTAATTTTTTTTTGGAACCGGCAAATAAATATTTTTCAAATATGTTGTTCGCCACTTTGGTTGGAGATAAGTATATCTTTTTAAATATCATGTCGTTTCTTGCCCTCCATATCCACCGGATAGCTCCATAACATACACAAATGAATGTATTTCTCTCTTTAGAGCTATGCCCCCAAGTTGCAGCATATTTGAGAATCTCATTGACCGAATCAAAATTAGGCTGAGAAATATTACACCAAGTGAATACCCAATTCCACATCGATGCTGCAAAATTACATTTGACAAAGATATGGTCCGAATCCTCCATTTCTTCATTGCAGTGGTTGCATGAGGTAGACTCTAGGCTAATACCCCCCGATGCAAGGCAACTTTAGTAGGAACCCTGCCAAGACTAGTTCTCCAAATAAAAGAAGAAGCCTTTATGGGAATAACAGAGGTCCATATCACCGTACACTCACCAAAGGGAGAAGACGGATGATCAATCTTGTGTCGTAGAGTGTCAACAGAAAATTCCTTATTATTGTTCAAACCATAACGCCATGTATCTGGAGATGTTGAAGGTTGAAGTAGCCTAATAATAGAGGAGATTGATGCTAGTTCCTGTAATTGCTCCGCGCTTAAGGGAAGGGACTTCCAATCCCAAACTGGGCCGCCAACTTTAACTTTATCAGCAACCAAACAATTTTTCGTTTTTTCCAGCTTGTAGAGATTAGGGAACTCTTCTTTGAGGGTATTTTCATTCACCCAAGTATCCCACCAAAATAGAGTTTTGTTGCCTGCATTTACTAGTTTCTTAATCACTGACGCAATTGATATCCCAAACTTCTGCAACTTAGTTTTGATACCAGCAATATTATTCCAAACACATGTTATCGATTTTCTGGACATGTATCCATTCGGTTTAGATTGTAAGTTATGAATCCCTTTTATTACCCGACTCCTGAGTAAGGGGGGTCCATTTTGGACCGCCACCACCATTTGACAATTAAGGATATGTTGAGGGCCCGAATTGTTCCGACACCTAACCCGCCACTTTCTTTTGGGGCACACACCTGGTCCCATGCCACCCAATTAATTTTTTTTTATTCTCGCAAGCTCCCCATAAAAATTGTCTTCTAATCCCTTCAAGCGTATTAATAACTCCAACAGGTGCTACAAATAATGAGAGGAAGTAAGTGGGAAGATTACCAAGCACATATTTGACCAAGGTTAACCTTCCACCAAAGGAGAGAGTTTTTGATTTCCATGCAGATAATTTGGATTGAAATATATCAATTATTGGCCTCCAATTCTTCTTAAGGTTCATGCTAGCACCCATGGAAACACCGAGATAATTGAAGGGAAGTGACGCCGGCTCATAACCGAGCGGGGCAGCCTAACGGTTGACTTCATGCATTGTAGCCCCTATTCCAAAGACTTTGGACTTTTCAAAATTAACTTTAAGACCGGATGAGATGTGGAAGCATCGGAGTATGCGGGCAAGATTCTTTATGTTGTGATCAGATCGTTCGCCAACAAAAAGGGCGTCATCAGCATAAAAAAGATGAGATACCGTGGTATCACATCTCGGGATCGTCACACCTTTGAAAATTCCTTTTTCACGTGCTGTCTTCATCGCTATGTTGAGACCTTACATAGCAGTGATAAAAGAGGAATGGGGATAAGGGATCCCCTTGTCTCACCCCTTTAGATATCGAGAACTTGTTCGTCAACAATCCATTAACAAGCACTGAGGCTCAGGAGGATCCAAGACAACCTTTAATCCATTTTCGCTATTTTCCTCCATATCCCATTTTCATGATAATAGAGTCAAGGTACTCCCATTTTATGGAATCTAAAGCCTTATCAAAGTCTACCTTAAATAGTAGAATTTTATGATTTTCCTTTTTAGCCCAAGAACAGAGCTCATTCACTATCAAGGGACCATCAAGAATGTTCCTACCTTCGAGATAGGTTGATTGAACCTCATCAATGTTCTGCCCAATAATCAGTTTCAGTCTAGTTGCAAGAAGTTGGGCTATTATTTTATATAGGCAGCCGATCAGACTAACAGGACGGTAATTACTTAGTTTGAGTGGATCTTTAGTATTTGGGATGAGAGTTATAAAAGACGAGTTGCAACCTGGACAATTCTACCAGACTCTTCAAAGTGCTTTACTAAAGCCAAAACATCTCCTTTAACCATTTCCCAGTAGCTTTTTAGGAATTTAAGGGTAAAGCCATCAGGCCCGGGGCCTTTTCACTGCCATACGCCCATATTGCAGCCTTAATTTCATCTAATGAGAATGGAACTCCAAGAGACATGCAAGTAGCAGGAGAGATTATATGGAACATGGGGCTAGTGAATTTGGGTCTAGAAGTCATTTCTCAAGAAACTTATGTTGAAAAAAACTGTGAACCTCCTCTTTTATTGCAACAAGATCTGTCATCCATACTCCATTAATCATCAAACCACTCAATCTGTTTCTCCTATTTTTATTGTTAACGTACCCATGAAAGAAAATCGTATTTTCATCTCTATCCACTATCCATTTGATCCGAGATTTCTCTTTCAAGTCGAACACAACCATCCTTTCCAAATCTGCTATTTTTCCGCCCCTCCCTTCGCTCTTCAATCTCACTAGCAGTTAGTGGTCTGTCTTCTGCTATAGTGTCAATCTCATGAACTCTTTTTTTAAGATTCCTCAGATCAACCGTTTCTTGTGGGTGGTTGATTGCACACCATTTTTTAATTTCCTTCTTAAGATATCGGAGCTTTGCAGCAAGAATCATATCCGGAGTACCATACCCAACAAAATTTATCCAGGCAGATGTAACTACCCCGTCAAAACCTTCATGCAACATCCATGAATTGAAGAACCTAAATAGGGGAGGCCCGACGTCTGAGACTGCAGTGGAAAGTAGAACAAGACAATGGTCTGATAAGTCCCTAGGGAGGGCAGTAACAGAAGCAACCGGAAATTGATTCATAAAATTCGAACAGACTAAATGTCTATCCAATTTACTAAGTTTCAAGTCGTCCCCGCAAAAGAACATGAAGCAATGACCTCCCATCCTAAGGTCATGTAAACCAGCCTCATCGGTAAAACGATTAAATGCACTGGAGCTGGAGGAGCAAAACTGTGAATTGATTCTTTCCTTTGGCCTTCTGACCACATTAAAGTCTCCGAATATGATCCATGTACCAGGTTTCTCGTTCTTAATATTGATCAGATCATCCCATAGTTTAAGCTTTTCTACAGGTGATTGTGGGCTGTAAATATTAGCAAGGATGGTAAATCCTTGTATACCAATCCACCTTCCAATGGTAATAAGATAATACCTAGACCTTATAACCTCCATAACACTGAATACATTATTATCCCAAATACTTAGTATGCCTCCAGATCTACCAGTAGCCTCAACCGCAAACCATGAAAACTCCAGTGAATCCCAACAACCAACCACGTCTATTGATTCAACATTCGCCAATTGTGTTTCTTGAAGCCCCATGAAAGATAAATTATGTTGTCGCTTTAATCTACTCGCTCATGTGATTTTTTGTTCTTCACTTATACCTATGATGTTGAGACTTAGCCCATTCATTGACCAATTATTTGTTCACCTTCACCACCCATTACTTCTTTGAGGATAGGGTTATCAACCTCAATGTCGAACCCCAATTCCTTACCTACTTCAACAGTGCGTCTTAGCTCCACTAAGGATGACACAGAATCATGTTCATCGAACTCTTGTTCCATGTCTGGGATATCGCTTGTGTTCCTGTTCATATCAATTGAATGTGTGGATATATTGGATATATTGTCATTCATTAGAGGAGGGGCAACAAGAGTCTCGTCGATTGGGGGGGGGGGGGCGTGATCAGGGAAGAGGTTTCTTGGAGGGTCTTGAGAAGGATTATTCAGGTTTTTAAGATTAATGGTGAATTCTGCCTCCAGTTTATCGATTCTACGTCTTTTACCAAGGAGTCGGGTGGACTCAAATGTAGGATCCGAATGAAATTGAAAAGAGCTAGGCCCACGAAAGTTATTGGATGGAGACGGACCAAATCTTCTGAGAGAGATAAATGTATTAATCGATCCACTGGGCTTAAACGTATTTATCTCATTTGCCTCCCCATTGGGTTCCAGTTGGGTGGATTCCACATCAGTAATTCCATTGGGAATTACAACATCGATCATCCCAGGCACATTATTTACACCTTGTTTTTCCCCATGCGATGTTTGGGCTTCGGCTGTTGAACTTTTATTCACCTGGGTGCCCTACTCACTGTCCACGATGGCCGCGAATGGTCGACGGAGTTGTTGTTTACTTTCACGTCCCTTGGATCGATCTCCCCTTCTTCCATACTATCTTCATTTTTTTCTTCTATCCATATGTCTGAAACCGCATCAACGTCAACCTCGTCATCACCTTCATCATCTGATTCCGAGATTTTTTCCGGCGGATCGAATTTAAATGGGAACCATTCCTCATCAAATTCAATTATTCCAATTTTTATACATCTACCATCTGCTAAGATTGTAATCTCTTTATTGATTCTCCTCCTGATGGTTGTTAGAATCCCAACTTTGATGCAAGACATATCAACTCTGTTAAATATGTCATCAAAAGGGGCAATTACAATACCGAACGCCTTCAGGATACACGTGAAGTTACTTTCCCCCAGAACCTTGAAGGCAATCCAACAATTCGTAACCAATCAACCCTTTCGAAGTCTAATTCTGCCCCATCCCCCACTTTTACCCACTTCATAAATTTCTACCAGTTTTTGTTATGAAGAAATCTATCCCTCTTTACTGTGCAATTGAATACAAAAAGAACCCGTAGCCCCCCAATGTATTTAATCTCAAAGTTAACCTCGTTTCTAAGTGCCAAGAGAGAGGGGAGGTGACCGAGATGGTTTAAGGATAAGGCCTCACCGATCAACGTCGTTTTTCCAATCCATATTTTTATTACTTCCTCACTCTAAATGTTGATTGTTGGATTGTCATTTACGACATACCCTGGTCTTTTCACGTCAGCATATAATCTGCGATCCCGGAATGCATCATGGGTCTGTACCTTCTTCTGCACTTGTGGTTCTGCCCTCATTTTTCTACTCCCTGTAGCCAAGCTCGGTTCTCTCCTTTGAGGCTTTGATACATTAACTGCCAGCTTTCTACCCCTATAGATGACTCCGTTGATCGCTCTTTCCAAACCTAGAACATCTGTGGCCCCTTTGTATCTGACAAAAGCGTAGTATTGTCCATTCCTTCTTCTTTTTCATGCTACGAAAACGTCCACCAACTCCCCAAACTTTTTGAAAATTTCTCTCAGTTCTCCCCAATGTGCTCGACTGGGGTGTTCGTGACGAAGAACGTAGTTATCTCTCTTGAATCCCATTGAATGTTCCTTACACCTACACCGGTTGTTACTGCCGCTTGACCTCTATCCATGCCATCTCTATAGATAATACTTAATGCTAAATATACGAATGGATTAACTCATAAGTTGTTAAACAACCACAATATGGTCATATCTAAAATGCCTAATTCAAGCCAAAAGCCTTCTTGAGGTTTCCTTTCTAAACATAAAACCTACTGCGACCGACTGTTAAAGATTTATTTTATCTCTAGCTAATCAATTTAATTTTAAAATATCTATTAGAATTGAGAGATTAAATTGGTTATTCAAACTACCTTTTTCATTGAGCACTCATAGATTCAACAAATTATCAAGGTACCTTTGGAATCTGTTCATGATTTTAAGTAATCTAATTTTTATATTTGAATTAATGGTTTAAAGCTTGGTTATTAAGCCATCTTTTCATCGACAGTCCTCACCTATTCAACATGTTAGAATTTTAGATAAATACTAGGATTCTTTTCATAGATTCAAGTGCTAAAACTTTTGTTCCGAATTAATAGTTTGAAGTTGATCTTGTTCCGTTTGAAGAGTTGGTTAATGTTGGTGGTTACTAGTTTATTTTGCATTCTCTTACTATTATTATTATTATTATTATTATTATTATTATTATTATTACTACTACTACTATTATTATTATTACTACTACTACTACTACTACTATTATTATTATTATTATTATTATTATTATTATTATTATTATTATTATTACTACTACTATTATTATTACTATTATTATTATTATTATTATTATTATTATTATTATTATTCATACTAATTAATAAAACTTAACTATCATCATACAACTAAATAAAACTTAGTTATTATCGTACAACGATTGAGACGACAAACTGACAACAAGTTGCATTGTTAAGTCTTTTTGTATGGTAAAATCAATTCTTTTGAAGACTGCATCCATAGATCTAGTGGATATAACATTCTTTTGAAGACTGCAACTATAGATCTAGGAGATATAACATTGTTATACATGATCCGTTGTACTCTATTAAGAAGTTCCACGACATCTGTTACGAAAAAATCAAACGTATCAAATGTAGTTGGTATGAACACGAAATGGCGAGTCTAGAACATAAAACTGACAGAAAATTAAAAAATCAAAAATCAACTAGTTGCGGGTTCGATCAGGTCGAAATGTAGCAAAAAAAATCTTACAATTATACTCAATAAAGTCTTATATCTTGATATATTGTCACACTTATATCATTACTAATACTTTATAATGCTGAAAGTTTGAAACAATAAAAAAATTATGGTGAAATCATGGAACAATCAAAAAAGTGAAAAAAAATCACTATTAAACATTAATTAACAAACTTTCAATAGCTTTGAAGCTCTTGGAGTAAGTATAAACAAACTATAATTTAAAAAAACTAGCAATGATGGAATGCAATTAAACCTACTGCCTACATTGAACTACATTACTATCATTAATTCACAATTGTGGTCCACGATGAATTTAATGGTCATGGAATTGCAAATAGTACTTCCACATATTTTATTTAATACTCACAAAGTTAAAAAAAAATAGAATAACTTATCGGCGGTTGCAATAGCGCATAGGCAAAATTGGATCCACGATTGTGAAGGATTGAAGCGTCATGTGCTGTTAAACGACATTGCTAATTCGTGGTTCACATTTATTATTATTATTATTTAGTTTAACTTGTATTATATTATGAATATTGGATTATATGTTAAAAAATATTGAGCTATTAAAGTATAGAATGTGGGCTTTAAATATGTGATTTATATATACATATTTTTTTTTGTCAAAAATATTAAGGTGGTTCATTTAAGATTTTTTAGGCATGTCACAAATTTTAAGTTATATAACTTATTATAAAAAATAAAAAAGGTGGGTAAGTAACCTGCTATGATATCAAATAGCCTCGCTACTGTGAACACATGTTGATTTTCCATGCACGATTTCTCTTGTTTAATGACGTTACCTGTAGACTGTAGTAGCTTTTAAAACAACATGTCTCGCCGTGAAACTCCTAACCCTTAAGCCTACGAGATGGGATACCCCTCTAAGGTCCACATATGCGTGTTTCCCTCCAATCCATCAAAAAATCAGAATTTTGTTCGGTCTAAAGGTTGACATTCCTTCTACCGAGTCAGTTAAGAAATGCACAAAAGCCTCTTTCTTGGCGTAAATCCCGACACACATACATGTTTAGTTAGTTACTTTCAATGCATTGCTCAGTGTTTTTCTGGCATCTGTGGATTTATCTCTTTTAGATGTTATTTTAGGGGTCGCTTAAGGAATAATTCAAGGTATTTACTTTCTCGATCATGATATGTCACTGTTTTACTATAGAATCAGGGGCTTTAACATGTTTAATCTTGGTGATGTTTGGACATATATTCATGTTGCTTTAGGCCCTTTTTCATGGGTTTTTTGGTGTTGTTTATTTGGAGTTTGTTTAAGGGCAGTTACAAGGACAAAATCTTAATGGTATACATAATTTTACGGGCAGTAGAGGCATGCCAGAAAATTTATTAAAGAAATTACATTGTATTTTAAATTTTAAGGGACTACAATGACATCGTGGAACCCTCTACGCCTGCCTTTTTTTTTGTATCAGTTATATTTTGTAGTCTTGTTTGTTGTTGATTAGAAATTTCTTACATGTAGATTTTTTGTAGCATCCGTTTTTCCAGGTATTATTATTATTCATTATAATTGAAGTGTGGTGTGGTTTGGGTTGTACTTTGATCTTTAGGCCTTGCTAGTGGTCTGAGGGGGGCTGCGTACGCGGGGCGTACAAAGCCTGGTACGCCCAGCGTACTCGCGGAAAGGAAACACGGAGGCCAAGCACGTACGCCCAACGTATCAGGAGTATGCCCAGCGTACGTGTGCAGGCCCTTAAACCCTAAAATTTTAGTTGTTCCCTATATAAAGAACATAACCCCCCTGTTGGTTCAGCCTCCCTTCACTCCTACCCAGCCACCATGAAAACCCTATCCCCCTTTGTGTGCCTTGTGTTCTAAAAGCCATTGTTGAGAGTGTTTGTGTGTTATTTTAGTTAGAAGAGAAGAAAGGAGTTTGAAGAAGAAGCAAGGATCCACCAAGAGCTTGTAGATCCAGATGGTTGACACCATTTCTGACTCTTTTGAGGTATCAAGCTGCATACTTGAGCATTGTATGATTAGATTTGTTTATTTGGGGTTTTTATGCCCTTTTTGGACCCCATTGTTGGTAGTGTTTGAGTATGGCCGATTCCAGAGCTTAAGTGCTGTCCTTTTGGACTCTTTGAAGCAGCTAGAGTCATAAAAATCGGATCTTGGTGGTTAAGCCAAAACCATGCAAGGGCTAGATGGTCATAAAGTGGGATTAATGGACCAAAATCATGTTTTTACCTTAATCTTGATTCTTGCATGCAAGCACAAAAGTTCGTGACTTTATGGTCTAGGAGGTCTAAAAGGAACTGGATCTGCATTTTGGACATAAAGGCTGAATGGATTAAGTTATGGGTGAAGCCCCAAGGAAGCTGGCCAGTACGTTGAGCGTACTCCCTGGTACGCCACGCGTACTGGGTCAACTGCCCGTTTGAGGTCAAGGCTAGCGTACGTCGGGCGTATGTGCCAGGTACGCCGCGCGTACGCATGCAGAGTGGACTCTTTGAGTTTTTAGGCCTTAGAAGGTTGGGCCTGGAATTTTGGGCCTCATGGCCCACTGTAAAGCGTAAGTTTGGGCCTCAGAATATGGAGTTCGAAGCGTTGGGCCCTTGGGCCGTGTTAGGCCATTTGGATGATTTTGTTTTGGGCTAAAGACAGTAGAAATTATGAAAAGGCCCATTTGAAGGGTTGGGCCTAATTTGGAAAATTGGGCCATCTGTGGGCCTTTGGGGAGTCTAGATGGGCCAAGGGTGGTTTGAATGTAATACGTTAGAGTGGGGTCTTTTGAATGTTCTCAAATTGGACCAAGGGGTAAAGTGGTCATTTTACCCCAAGGAATGTTATAGACTCTGATTGAGTGTTATGTGTCTCTGATAGCCGGGAGTCATCGGAGCAGCTATTAGAGATTTCCTCCTTGAGTTTCGACACGCAGTTTACGAGGTGAGTTACCTTCCAGTAGCGGTGGTTCTAAGGCCACAATGCCGGCCCACCAGTAGGATTTGTATGTTAGATAATTGTTTTTGTGATATTCATCTAGGTGTACTACTAACTGAGATGTTTGTGTGCTATGTTTTATGTGGTAGTAGTAGTAAGAGGGGGATAGTCCCCAAGTTCGGTTGTTAGGACCGAGGGGTAGGTCGGACACCCCTATATGTCTGACAGGGGTAGGTTGAGCACCCCGGTATACTCAGCATGGTAGGTCGGGCACCCAGGTATGCCTAGCATGGGGTAGGTCGGGCAACCCGGTATGCCTGACAGTATGTGTTACGTATGGTATGTGCTATGATGGAGGGACTCACTACGCTTCGTGTTTACAGTTTTCAGTTTTGTTTCAGGTACCTCTTCAGCAAAGGGGAAGGAGTCGGCGTGGTAGCGGCACATCACACTCACACATGATTTCCGCACCGAGCTTTCTGGGATTGTACTATGATTTTTATTACTATTGACGATATGGTTTTGAGACACGTTGTTACAGTTTTATGATTTGGTTTGACATTGGTAATGTTTTGGATAAACTGTTTTATGACTTTCTTAATTAAAAATGA